CGGCGGAGCGGCGCGCCGCCGCGGCCGCCGCGGCCGCGGGCTGCCGGCGGCTGCACCCCGACTGGGCGTTCCGGCACTGGGGGGAGCGCGAGGCGCGGGCGCTGGTCTCGGAGCGCTACCCATGGGCCCTCGACACCTTCACCTCCTATGAGGTGCCGTCCCAGCGCCAGGCGGCGGCGCGGCTGTTTGTGCTGCACGCCCACGGCGGGGGTGAGCGCGAGCCGCACGCCGCACACCGCACTCCTGGGCTCCGAGCGACTCACCTCGCACCTGCGCGTGTGCGTGCCGCCCGCCCGTGCGCCCCTGTTGCTTGCTCACGGCGCTCAGGGGAGCCCACACATCCTGACAACACCCCCCAAAACCGCGCCCCGCGACCCGCCCCTCTGCCCGTCCCGCAGTCGTCCTTTCAGCCGGCGTCGGCTGCCAGCACCGCCTGGACGCCCTCCGCCAATTCGACGCGGCTCTGATCCCGCTCACACCCCAAACCGCCGCCGGCGGCGGCTGGGCCGGCGACATGGTCAGCGGCGCCGCGCTGGCAGCGCCGCCGCGGCACCCGTTCGTGCTCGCCGCGCTGGAGGACCTGCCGCGGCACAACCACCGCTACGGCGGGCCGGGGCTGACCTCGCTGATGTCATCGGGTGACGTCTTCTTGGCCCGCCAGCTGGCAAAGTGGGTGGGCGACGCCGCGGCTGGCTCCGCAGGGGACGCTGAGGGCGGCGGCTCAGCGGCAGGCAAGCAGGCGCAGGTCTACACGATTCCCCCGAGTCTTTTTCAAAGTGAGTGCCCAGGCCGGGCGCTCTTCTCGCACGGGCCCGGCTCGGGGACGCCCGAGGCCGCCGGCGGCTGCATCGGAGGCGCTTGCAGCGGCGCACGTGCGGGCCCGGGCGCGGCGGCGCTGGGCGCGGCGGCGGCGCCGGAGCCGCGGCTGGGGGGCGACTGGCTGCATTGGGACGCGGCGTTGGGGCTATGGCTGGCCGCCAACGCGGGCTGGGCGGCGGCGCTGATGCTGGTGTCGTTTGCAGCGGGGGTCGGCGCAGCGCAGTGCGGCCCTGCGCTCTCGGGGCTCTGGCCCGCGCAGGGGCAGCGGCGCGACCGAACAGACTGATGACGACTGCAGGCGGGCGCGCTGCCTGATTACTTGACCGTTCTGTGTTGATTTTGTGGACCGACTAGCTAGTTTGCAGGCTGAAGATGGCGCGGCAGGGCAGGGAGCCACATCCAGCCACTTAGTCATAGCTAGCACACCGTTGTGTGCACTCTTGGCTTCTTGCAGCGCGATGGTGTTCATGTTGGTCGACAACCGTTTGACTGGACTGGATCCATTTGTTGGCACTGCAAATGCGACTTGCAAAGCTTGTTGGCGCACGCTCTTGTGTAGCTACGGTAATCAAAAGCATCGCTAATGTGCCCGTGCCTGTCAAACTCTTCACGCTGCTGGGTTTACTGAGGTGCCGAAAGGCCATCACAGCCCCCGTCCGCTCAACAGCAAACCACCAACACGCGTCTGCTCGCAGCAGACAGCCGGCGGCGCCCGCAGCTACCGCCCCGCCCCCTCCCGCGCCAGCCGCAGCACGCCAAGCAGCTCCGCCAGCAGGCGGGTGTATGACGTCAGCGCCTCAACCTCGGACGCGGGGGTGGCGGAGATCAGGGCGCTGATCTCGCGGACCTTGGACGCCAGCGCCGCCTGCGCGCCGGACAGGGCGGCCTGCGCGGCGGGGAGCACGATAAATAGCAGGGTCGGCTTGAGTAGCGAGTGTTAGGTAGCTCTCGGTGCATCGTGCATTCATCTGTTGCAGCTGTGAATGCGCTCAACGCTGCGAGCATCAGGTGGTTGGCAGTATTCTATATCGCGGCACCCAGCAGGGCCCACTGTACACCACCTCAAGAGACAGCGGCATGCCAGTCGGCGAGAGCGCCCCGGGGCCGGCCGCGGGCGCCTCCACGGCAGCCGCGGCCGCTGGGGTCGCCGGCGCGGGTGCGGCGGCAGCGACGCGCGCGGGCTGCTGCCGGTCAACCGCCTCCGCGCCGGCCGCTGCCGCCGCCTCCGCCGCTGCCGCCGCTGCGCTCTCCTGCAGCTCCGAGCCCTCCGTCGCCTCGCGCCGGCCGCCCGGCGCCGCCGCCGCGGCGGGGCCGTCCGCCTGTGCGGTGGGCGCCGGTGGGGTGGAGGGCGCCCCGACCGGCAAGTCACAGGCGACGCAGTACACCTGTCTGGTGCTCCGCTCCCTCATGAGCGGCGTCAAGCACCTTCGGGGGGAGTGTTGGAGTCGTTTCATGAAGTGTGGCGGTACAGTGGGCTCTCTACAGCGGTGGTGCAGCGCCGTGGCAGCAGAGCGCTGGGCCTGCACAGCGTTAGTGCAGAGCTGCCACTGGGGCTGTCCCCGCACGCAGCCCAGCCCCCCCCCCCAAAGCACACCATACGCAAACGCACCAATACACCCTCC